TGTGGTCAGAGACATGCTTGGCTGGAATCGTTTTTGTTGTCTGAGACTTGGCGGGACACTGGGCAGGTGAAGTAGAGTTGAGTAGGTCACCTGTGACGTCAATATATGAAGGGATAGTCCGAAATCGTTGTTTTCGGTGTTTTTAAAAGATAAAAAACATATTTTTGAATGTGGGTTCTGTTTTTTGTGACGATAAGTGACACTGCAGTAGCGTAGCGAGGAGGGGGGGGGGCGGGAGGGAAGGGGAGGCGGGGGGGGGGGGGTGGGGGGGGGGACATGTTGGGGCGCCAAAATAATTTGGAAAAATAAATTGAAAGGTTGAGGGGGGTTCAAATGGAAATTTTGAGTGGGGGGGGGGGGGGTGCACATCAAAAGTTTGAAGGGGGTGGGGGGGGGGGGGGGGTTGAAAATCGAAATCTTGGGGGGGGGGGGGGTTCAAATCGAAAAGTTTGTCCCCGGGCGCCGGGAAGGGTCGCTATGCCTCTGAGTGACAGACGTGATGTTTTTTGATGGATGACCCCCGAAACCCACAGTTATCCAACGGATGACGGGTATTCTAGTTTTTACTAAAAGTAAGGCGCTGGGCTATACATCTTTCTTTATGTAAAATAGGACTGAAAATGTAACTGGGCACGAAAGGTTTGTGAAATTCAAGACGTTAGCGGGCACGGTGATCGGAAAAATGCACAACGGAAAAATGCACAACGGAAAGCTGCAAACAAAATAATGCGAAACGGAAAAATGCGCAACATAGATGCATTCATAGATGCTGTTGAGAGAAGGTGTGTCGGCTGTAGATGATGGGCCCACATGTTTTTTCCCACGTTTTCTTTAACTTGCTTTCTCTGTGTCTGTGTTTCTGTGTTTGTCTTTCCAATCAAATCTTGCGATCAAAATTTCTGGCACTTCCCAGTTAGCTAGCGCGCTGAAATTTTCAGGGAAGCTTTCTTTTGGATGACCATTGAATATTCAATTGTTATTATTACTAAATTGATCAATGGAAAAATTTTGTTGAGCATTTCAGACCGCTATATAATCTATATATATAATTCTCCTCTGCTAGCCATTAGAAAAAAAACCAGCGACGCGTACCTCGCGCGCAGTGAAGCGAACGATCACATGTCGCCACAGGCTTAGGGGCAGAGAATTTAGCTTGAACCGAGTTTAAACTTACAGGAGGTAGGCCAGTTTGGGGGAGACGATATGGTCGAGTGGTTGGGCACACGATTGCTATCCCACTCGACACGGGTTCAAATCTATGTGTTCTAGTCAGTAACGTATTCAAACAACGTGTTTTTTACGAGTTGTCTTTTTACGAGTTGTCTTTTTACGAGTTGTCTTTTTACGAGTTGTCTTCGTTTACCCAAAAAAAGTGAAAAGATAAAATCGATAGCAAGATTTTAATGCAAACAAACAAAGACTAAAAAGTAGAAAATAATAATCATTAAAAAAGTTTTAAAAAACCCACGTTTTCTGATTGAACTAAAAAGTAGAAAATAAACGCTATACATCACAATAATGCAAGCGATCACTCTACTATAAGCGATCAAAAACGTGGGGCGCCGTGATTTTCTTACAGTTTCTAATACTGTTGACTCTCTACAAGCTCCCTAATAAAAGTCAATAGTATTATCTAATCAATAGTAATATAACTTTTACTTCGGCGCCCCACGTTTTTCATCGCTTATAGTAGAGTGATCGCTTGCATTATTGTGATGTATAGCGTTTATTTTCTACTTTTTAGTTCTATCAGAAAACGTGGGTTTTTTAAAAGTTTTTTAATGATTATTATTTTTTTAACATAGCGAATGCTTGTACACAGGCAGTTGGTCAATAACGGGCTGTGTAATCACAGATAATTTGACCAGACGTGGATTGCACGACTACGCTTACACCCACACCATCACCGACCGTTGACCTACCGACTTTGTCCATGCATCCGTCAATCTAATCATCCATCTCTCTCTCTCTCTCTCTCTCTCTCTCTCTCTCTCTCTCTCTCTCTCTCTCGGATTCTCTATCTCTTTCTCTACTGTTTTAAAAATATTCAAGGGAGTGGGGGGGGGGGGGGGGGCTATGAAAATAAGGGGCACTAAGATAGAGATTATGCCTACATCCGGAAACTTGCTACATAAAGTTTTTGCAAAATAAACAATGTTTGATAAAATTATTTGATTTCCTCATTAGTTATGCTCGGTAAACACCGCAGCCTACCACGTAAGATTCTATTTTCTGAAAAAAGCTTTTACAAAATTAATTTATTCAATGAAGAATTTCACACATTTTGTTACAATTTTTTACAAGATTTTGTCTGTTTAAGAAGTGTATATAATAGTCGAGAACAACCAGTTAAGAATTATTTAAGCAATGTGGATGAAAATCACTTTAACAAATTAGTTTAACTAACTAAATTTAAACAAAACGTGATGACATTAGAATTTTTTTTTTAATATGTGTATGTCTCCTTGGGATGTTGCAAACATAATTTGGAATAATATTAATCAAAAGCGATGTCTAATAATTATGGTTGATATAAGTAGGCTAATTATTCATGCTTTTCGACAAAGCTCTTTTAATTCAAAATTGTATTAGTTTTATTTGGTCTGCGATATGTTTATTTTAAAATGCATTTATATATATATATATATATATATATATATATATATATATATATATATATATATATATATATATATATATATATGTATATATATATATATATATGTATATATTTATTTATTTATTTATTTATTTATTTATTTATTTATTTATTTATTAATTTATTTATTTATTTATTTATTTATTTTTTTATTCATTTATATATATATATATATATATATATATATATATATATATATATATATATATATATATATATATATATATATATATATATATATATATATATATATATATATATATATATATATATATATATATATATATATATACATATGTGTGTGTTTTTGTGTATGTGTGTGTGTGTGTTAATCATGTTTCATTGTTATTAATAATTTTGTTTCAATTTCAGATATATATCTATATCACCTTAAAAGTTGTATCAAGATGAAGTTTTCAAAAGTTAACATTGCAGCCATACTGTTTATGTGCACATCATACGCACATGGTGAGTCTATTACTATCACACACGGTTAGAAATATAGTTAAAATAGTAAAACAAAAACTGAAATCAACATAACCAATTCAAGGTTGTAGTCTCGCGGTATTAAAATTCTCTCAGTATAATTTGAAGTGTTGTAATGGTGCAAAAAAGTCCAAATCTTGATTTTCACAAATCTCGAATAATTTTTAGTGCATGTTTGCTTTCTCGTATTTACAGAATAGGCTTCAAGAGAAAGTATTGTAATCGTGCAAAAAAAATCGAGTTTTTTGCAAATCTCGACGTTTTACATCTCCTTGAGTCGGAAAAGCATAATTTTGCGATCTTGTCCGTATGTCTCTCTGTGTGTGTGTGTGTGTATGTATTTGTGTCTGTAAACACGATAACCTGAGTACCGTTATAGCTAGGTTTATGAAACTTCAGATATAAGTATTAAATCAAAATCGTAGATCCGTTTCAATTTTTGAGCGATTTCTTATAACCGGAAGTGGAACTTTTTCTACTTTAAATTCTTCAAAAGCCTTTAACTTGAGTACTATTTCAGATAGATAAATGAAATTTCACATATAAGTAAACGATATATCAAAAAACACATGTGAATTTATAAAGTACTAATAATATCCCGCACTGTTATGCACATTTTGTTTATCGTTCACATGGTGTGTAATTTTTTTTTTCTACAAGGTTCTATTCTATTATAAAAAGTTTAAGTAATTGAAAATGGATTTAAAATATTGTCTATAATCGTAGTTGCCATCCCCCGTAGTGTTGTATAAGAATATTCGAGAAGGTTTAGGGGATATCACTCCCGGTTTATTTCATTTGTATTTTTTTTTGTTTGTTGTGTTTCTGAATGTAATAAATCATTTTTTATTTATTTTTTATGTGAGAATATTTTTTTAAAGGCTTGCATTCGCAAAAGGAGTCCGGTTTATGAATATTTTAATCATATTTTTTTTCAGAAGCAGCCACTTTAAAAAATATTAAAACTAGTTTTTTTTTGTTTTTTTTTAAACAAAATATTACATATTTAGATTTTAGAAATGATATTGATACAATGTTCCTAAAACTCTATTTTTTGAAGAAACATGTAGCATGATTTCCCTATAACGAAATGATTTATTGTTTTGGAAAGATGGTGCTGTGTGTCATATACGGTTCTTTCGGGCTATACAACCTTTAGATATTTGGTACTTCCGAAAAGCTAAAATAAAATTAATAGTTAAGTGATCAAGCTATCGTCAGAGAAGTCGCTTTCATGAAGTAGAATAAACCCATAGTATCGAGATATATTACACAGACATTAACACTGAATGTTACTTTGTTTTAGCCAAGTGTCGCTGCCAGCAAATTACCACGGTGGTCAATGGACAAAATGTGTGTTCCTGCAACCCAGGCTATATCGTCAACCCAGCTAATCCTGCTAAATGTCTAGGTAAGAATATCGATATTGTAAAATCGATACCTTAACCAACATGGTTTTCCCAGGTAAAGAGCAGCGTAAAATTTTACGGTACGACCGAGGACACGCTTTAGGGATCATATATATTTTTAGTAGCCCCTTTAAGCATTATTGTGAAAATGAGCTTATGTTATAAGCAGATATATTTTACAGGTATTTATCTATCGTGTGTTACTGTATCATTGCGATAGTTCTTTTGCCGCCCTACTAAATACAAGTTTTTAGATTTTTAAAAGATTGTTCATGTTCTGCGTATTCTTCTAGTCGATAATTGTGATTGACCAGCTGGGCATAAGGTACTACGTAAACAAGTGTAGAGCACACATTATTTGATTCACATACCTGCTTTCTATTGATCAAACCATTTCAGACATCGATGAATGCAATGCCCAGTCAAGTCCATGTGAACAGGTATGTACCAACACACCTGGAAGCTACACCTGTTCATGTAATGATGGATACGTTATAAGTAGCACAGACCCTACACAGTGTGACGGTAAGTCTCAGAATTTAACACTTTTATATTTCCTTATAAACGTTGTTAAAATTAGAAATATTATACTATTTAAAATGCATAATTAACTCAGCTGAATAATACATTTTGCTTGCAAACAAAACTTCTAGACATCGATGAATGCAGCGCTCAGCCAAGCCCATGTCAACAGAATTGCACCAACACAGACGGAAGCTTCACTTGTTCATGTAGACCTGGATTTGCCGTAAATACCACGGACCCAACTAGGTGTTATGGTAGGTCATTGATAGAATGCTACACAACATTTCTTGATTTTAAATTCGGAAAAAAATGATAATAAGTATCGATCATGGGTAAAAAGGAAAACATTATAAAGTAAACAAATAGTTTACTGCCTTTAACGTAAGATTAGTATTTATTGGAGTTTTGTATTTCCTGAAATCGTATAAATCGTTTCTAACAGCAAAATTATATTTTTATAGCAAATTGTACCGGCACCAAAATAAGGAATGCGGAATAAAAATTACTTTTTAAAATCAGCTCGAATTTCAAAACACACACACGCACGCACACACACACACACACACAAACATATATATATATATATATATATATATATATATATATATATATATATATATATATATATGTATATATATTGTACTTTGACTAATTATCTCAGAATAAAATATATCATAGACATATAACGTCAAAATATCTCAGTCAAAAGATCTCACGGCAACCTATTTAAAATATTTAGACTGATTTTAAAAACAAGAGATACTTTGTTAAATAAAATTATATATTAATGAAATTTGCAAAATAAAACAAGAATATGTATACACATGTTTGATGCTTGCCAAACATGTGACAATCCTTAGGTGGACAAAACTAGATTAAAGTAATTTTTTTTTTTTTTTTTTTTTAATGGAAGGTCATTAAAAATCTACATTAGTAACAAGGTAGCAGCCCAATTTGATGGTAAAGATTGGCCAGAACGGAAAACTAATTCTATCTTTGTGAGCTATACGGATGTTATTAAAAGTTTATGTTGTATTATGTTTGTGGTGATAATGCAATAAAACATAATTTTACTTTACTAAAGTGATGAGCAGCTAAAAGATTTAAAAATACATTTTACGAACTTTGAACAATAATGATTTCTATGTAAAATATGTTTTGTTTATGATTTAGCTTGTATATTTAAATGCTTTTAAAATAGATTTTTAATTTAATTCGTCGTTGGAAGTGCAAATGGGCATACGCTGTTCCAGAGTCATATGTATTTATAGTTACATTTTATAAAACTAATTTTTTATAAAAAATAATATTTCCTAATAATACACTTTTTAAAAATATTTTTATTTCAAATTATCTTGTTATATCTTTTAAAGCACTCTGTGTTCCGTTACCAACTCCAATAAAAGAAACCCGAAACTCTTCATCACCCTTGGTAAATATATTTAGACTTCATAAATATATTCATACTACCGTACTTAATAACATCAATATTTTCTTCATGCAACATATCCACAGGTATCTGAATGCATTTATGTATATTATTCTAGACGACGTAGTTTTCCGTTCGGAAATGGTCTGTCAACAGCACTGCACAACACAAACCAATATCCCATATGCCCGCCCCAGAACTTATAGTTTTGTTAACCCAAATTACATCTGAATCTGAATCTGAATCTGCATCTGCATCTACATCTGCATCTACATCTGCATCTGCATCTGCATCTGCATCTGCATCTGCATCTGCATCTGCATCTGCATCTGCATCTGCATCTGCATCTGCATCTGCATCTGCATCTGCATCTACATCTACATCTACATCTACATCTACATCTACATCTACATCTACATCTACATCTACATCTACATCTACATCTACATCTACATCTACATCTACATCTACATCTACATCTACATCTACATCTACATCTACATCTACAACTACATCTACATCTACATCTGTAGCTGTAGCTGTAGCTGTAGCTGTAGCTGTAGCTGTAGCTGTAGCTGTAGCTGTAGCTGTAGCTGTAGCTGTAGCTGCAGCTGCGTCTTCGTCTTCGTCTGCGTCTACGTCTGCTTCTGCTTCTGCTTCTGCGTCTGCGTCTTTGTATGATTGTGTCTATGTCTTTGTCCAAATAGAACATTTAATTTGTGTACAACGTTTTTTACCACAGGAATGCTACTCAGCTTGTAGGGCAGAAAATTGTTTCGCTTTCAAGTTTGCCGATGGTGTGTGTACAACCAAGCTCTATGTTGGAGATGTTATAGATGTTACTCAAAATGTAGTTGCAGGATCAGTTATTATATGCTACAATGACAGCAGTAAGATTTTCCTTGTGTAAATTGGTTTCATTAAGCGCAATGTGAAAACTTAAACTGGCTTGACCTAATCATACCCGACATGACACGATCTGACCTGATCAGCCTGACCTGACCTGACCTGCCTGACCTAAGCGAACCTAACCTTGCATAATCGTACCTGTATTCATATCCGTAACCATAACCTCTAATACATTGTAAATATCTGTGGACAACACCTCAAGGTACCTCATGCAGTCTTAGACTAAACGAGCGAAATATCATCCCACCTACTAAACATATTATTATCAATGGGATTTTTTTGGATCACGTTTTTTACTTTCTCCTATACGAAGTATAGAGGAAGTATTGTAATCGATAATTTGAGTACAGTTACAGCTAGGTTGAAGAAATTTAATATACAAGCATTATATCAAATGTGTTGTTCTGTTTTAACTTTCCAACGATTTCGGATAAACGAAAGTGAAACTTATTTTAGTTTTTCAAAAGCATATAACCAGAGTACTGTTTCAGATAGATAAATTAAATTTCCCATGTAAGTAAGAGTACTAATTAACCGCCTTCTGTCAAATATTGAGTAATTTCTGTTGGACGGAAGTAGTAATTTACGCTATTTCCGGTTTCTTAAAAAACGCTTATAAATTTATAAAGTACTAAAATATTCCCCACAATTATACACATATTGTTTGCCATTAGCTTGGTGCGCAATTCTTTTTTTTTTCTACAAGATTTTATTTTATTTCAAAAAGTTAAAGTAATTAAAAATGGATTTAAAATCATGTCAATATCCCGAGTTGCCAACCCCCGTAGTTTTATGTACGAATATTCGAGAAAGTTTAGGGGAGATTACTCCCGGTTTATTTTATCGAGATTACACACCTGTTGAATTAAAAATATTAACTTTTTAACTATACAATATTTGTCTTTTAATGCGATTGGTATAATAATTTCCTCCAAGATGATTTGATCAAATTTATAATCAAGCATAGTTTTAATAGTTCGGTATGTTCTTATTTTACTATACTTTCTCATATGCGTTAGAGTTTAATCAAAAGTGGATAAAAACAAAGTACAAATAAGAGTACTCTGGCTGAATCGATTTTATTTAACAACAATCTAAGGTTTTGTTGTATGCATAGTAAATATTTAAAGAGATTATTACATAAACTGCTTTTTCATGTATCTGCTCTTTATCTTTTTGGTAATGTATCAAACAAAATTATTTTTGTTAATGTATGAATTTACAATAGTAATTTGTTTTTCTTCTATGTAGCACAGTGCACTTTAAAAAGCGATTCAACAGACGTACCAGTTACTTTAACAAATCAGGAGGTAAACGTCATGTCTTTAGGACAGAAAGTCATTTAACTAAACGATTTAAATCAGAACACTGCACATTTGCAAGAGATAACATGATATCTGATCATTCAAAGTCTATTCTTTATTTCAAAATTTAAAACAATTGGTACATGTGGTGTATAAAGGCATATATATATATATATATATATATATATATATATATATATATATATATATATATATATATATAAAGTTCAATTAAGTATGTAACGTGTTTGTAAAATGTTTGTCGTGGATACTTCAATGGATTTAAGTGTTAGATTATTATAGTGCTCAGGGTCTAAATTTATGAGTTAAAAATTTACTATTGAAAGTCTTTAAAAACAATTATCATTTTATGTACTTAGAATAATAATTTTTAATTATGAACATTACATAAAATTAGAAAAAGTGTGTCAACGTTTATAAAATTTCTAAAATTGTGTCTGAAATGTATTTGCACTTTGTCCTTTAGTTCTCATAACGTCCCTTGATTTGGAAAACACAGTTACTTCCCTATAAAGAACCATTAAATCGGGGGAAGAAAGAATTTACTTTTTATTACTTTGTTTTGGTGTTATAAAAATAAATAAATAACATAATTAGCGGGGACTGATTAAGTGCAATTTCGTTGGTATTTTTAATACTGCTTTTTATTTATTCTATATATTGAACATACTGTTTACTAATTACTTTTTAAAATCAATAACATTTAATAAGCCAGGTCCTACAAATCCTATGTGTTTATTTCTTTCTATTTACGGATAAGCTTGGAGTATTATAATGTTTTTCACTAAATTGAAACAGGCGCGTCCGCCGGCACCCCTGCACGGTTCGATTTGGCGCCCTGGGCTATCATGTGAGCGCTATGCTGCATAATTTTGTTTTAAACAGTGCGATAGACTATGGATAAGAAAGGTTACTATAGTCTTTAAACGAATCAAATCCGGGCGTCCTCCGGCACCCCGACAGGGTGCTATTTGGCGCCCCAGGCCTTCCCGTGTACGCTATGCTAGCTACGTTCGTGTAAGTGAGTTCAAAAGACTATGAATAAGTTGTCGTCATGGTGCGATTTGGCGCCCCGGGCTAGACTGTGGACACTTTGAGTTTATCTTTGCGTTTGTATTTTCTTTGTGTTTGAGTTTGGGTTTGCGTTTGTGGTTGTGTTTGCGTTTGGATTTGGGTTTGTTTTCGTTTGCTTTTTTTCTTTGCGTTTGTGTTTTCGTTTGCTTTTTTTCTTTGCGTTTGTGTTTTCTTTGTGTTTGTATTTGCGTTTGTGTTATGTTTGCGTTGTTTTTTTGGTGTGTTTTGGTTTTGATTGGTTGTGGTTGGGTTTGTTTTTGCGATTGGATTTGTTTTCGTTTGCTTTTTGTTTGTGTTAGTGTTTGTGTTTTCTTTGTGTTTGTGGTTGGGTTTGTCTTTGCGTTTGTTTTTGTGTTTTCGTTTGTGTTTGTTTTGTGTTAGTGTTATGTTTGCGTTTTGTGTGTGTTTTGGTTGGTTGTGGTTAGGGTGGGCAATGCCGAATAAATGCTGATTACTAAACACACAAGTTATGGTCCTTTGCAGATACGTTTTTCAGAGATGCCAGTGCAGGGCCTGGCCGGGACGGCTAGCATATATATATATATCTTTCTCCTTCTTTATGTATCCATTTACGCATTGTCTTTAGTAATCTCTTCCTTAGTTGGGAATGATAATCTTAGATTTACATTTGATTTATTTTTTATTAATCTATTGAGGATGTTTTTGCTCTCTATTACAGGCTTGCTATACCAATTGCCTTGACGATCCCGAGTGTATCGGCTATCTTTATATCCCCGGAGTATTTTGCTTGCTTTCCTACCCGTCTGGATCAATTGTTGACATAAACAATTTTCCGGTGGATTCATTTGTCTATCTTGATTGTGATAGATGTGAGTGTTATTGGCTCAAAAAGTATCTATCGTAATATTAGCTCATATTGTTTTTCATTTGTTTAAAAAAACGAACGCTTTTCCAACACTTTTGATTATATGAAAATTATTATTTTAAATGCAACCCTTTTTAAATTGTAAGCCTATTGTGTACAAGTTTCGAGAAATATGTACTGTCTTAATATCTGAAAAATGTGTTTTACCACAGAAAGAAAAACCAATTGGGGAAACAATTCTACATTGAAGGCAATGAAGTACTGCGGACTGTCAAAATGTGTCCAAGTAACTTCTTAGACGACTTGTCTTCCTATGTAAAACAATTGAATAAATCCTCGCACCTTGAACTTAGTGTCCTCTTTATTGGTTTGCTGGTGTTTAAGAAGTTTGGAAATATAGATTCCCACTCGAAATATTTAGGCGTGTGTTCTTATAGATTAATGTTCAATGTTGAATGCAAAATATTACATATTACTATATGTGTATGTGTAGGTAGATATCTCAGCGTTGTATGTGGGTAATTAACTGTTTGGGTACGTGTAAGTGTGCATGTAAATGTAGGGCTACTCGTATGGTGTAGAGGTAGTGGTCGGGGTAAGTGTAGGGGTTGGTGTAGGAGTAGGTATAAGTGTAGTTATATAAAGGGGTAGATGCCTCCTTTCCACATTTGAGTTTCGCTATGAATTAATGATAAACATAAAATTGATTAAATACTATTAATTGGCGTGTTTGTTTGCTGGGCAGTAAGCTGATTGCAGTAACTTGACTTGGGTACAAACCACACTCTGATGCTGTTGTTTGTCGACACGACACGGATGGTTTTTCTTCCTCTTCTCCGTTCTTAATTTTTAATCTTGGAAGGGATTCCCTACAACACTATTAAGTATTACTTGTTATGCCGCACAGAGGCGTAGCTAGAGTAGGGCGGGTGGAGCGGCCACCTCGGGCGCTGACCCTAAGGGGAGCGCCAAAGGGGTTAAAGAATAAAGCGTATTCGGAGCTGAAATAACTGAAATATACCCAGTCGAAGAAATCAGCTTTACGAGCTTATTTAACCGCTAATTTAGTTATGACCATATTAAGGTTGGAAATAAATTGGTCTAAGAGTTTTCAACAGCTTTACAATTTACTTAAGTTCTTTTAAATATTTTATTTCGCGATATATTCAAATAATTTAAAGTTACACAAACAAGTTCCGCAGGAGTCTATATGTAATACAATAGTATTCATTTGTTTTCCATTTTTACTTATCCCTTTATGAATCAGCCTAGCGCAGACAAGCTAACCATTCAATACACATTAAAACGACCATACAAACTGACGATTAAGATGTGCAATTACGTAGTCTGAGCTTGAAGACAAAAGCACACATAAATATTGATACACAATGCAGAGAGGGTGGTGACCTAGGTAAGTGTGTAACATCGCCCCGGTCAAGGCTAATGTTAAAATAACTGTCTGTTATCCAATCGAACAACAACAACAAAAAACATGTGTAACACGCTATACTGGAAGTGTTATTATGTAAGGGGAAATAGCCGTGAGAATATCTTTGATTGAGGATCAGGCAGGGTTACGATGTCATATGCCGTAGTAAATACCTTTATATCTTTTTATAAGACAAGTTATGTCGAAACGAGATGTAATCCTGTATGTCCTGTGACATCCGGGGGTACGAGAGTTGTCACGAGACATCCGGGGGTACGAGAGTTGTCACGAGACATCCGGGGGTACGAGAGTTGTCACGAGACATCCGGGGGTACGAGAGTTGTCACGAGACATCCGGGGGTACGAGAGTTGTCACGAGACATCCGGGGGTACGAGAGTTGTCACGAGACATCCGGGGGTACCAGTATTAATTAGCAATGAGAACCACGCTGATACTAAGTGAGCAAGGGGTGTAGGACAAAAGGCCGACACGGACAAAAGGCCGACATGGACATAGGGCCGACAGCCATAAGGCAGACAGCCAAAAGGCCGACAGACCATAAGGCCGACAGACCGTATGGCCGACAAACCATAAGGCCGACAATCATAAAAAATACTAATATCGTAAAATATATGTTACTGTATCGCTCCTATCTTGACTACCATCGAAATAAGGCATGAAATAAGGTGAAACGTTTAAGAGAAGAGACGGTGCTAGTTGATAACCTTATAAGGTGAACCATTTGGTCCAGCGACTGGAGAATACGGGAGAGTCTTAAACACAAAGGATCAACACCTAAATATTGCGAAATGCTGTCACTGCTGTCTTTCATAGCTCCTTCTATGTCAACGAGGTGAGATAATCATCAAAGAACCAATTCAAAAGCCACCGGCATCATCGCCCACATGCAACAAGGTGGAACGCCAAGTGACAATGCTAGTTGCGATCCTTATAGGTGGACGATGGAGATGACGGGAGTGTACAAAGGATAAACAGATCAAAGAAACCAAATGAAGTAGACCGATCACGTGCAATGACTGGACTACATCTTAAATACCGACAAACTTTGAATTATATTTTATTTTCGTCAATTGTGAATTGCGTGAAAAAAACGTTGTATACTATATTCGCTGGATTCATTAATTCTTTTGTGATTGTGGTACAAGTGTGCCAAAATTAATAAGTTAATTTTTGTTTTTTGTGTAAACTTGCCCCTCTGATTTCCCTCTATATGGACCAATATAACGGCAACAAATAATTGATAACATCGTGTGTTTTATTTTATCCTATTTTATGTACTTAAGAATATTAATGAGAAACTTAAACAGTCGTATATAATTACATATTTTAGATATTAAACATGTCTCTAATTGTAGATTTTTGTTTTATAAAACTGGTCGGCCTTTTGTCTTGTCGGCCTTTTGGATGTCGGTCTTTTGTCTTGTCGGCATTTTGTCTTGTCGGCCTTCAAGATGTTGACCTTTTTGCTGTCGGCCTTTTGTCTTGTCGGACTTTTGTCCATGTCGGCCTTTTGTACGGATCCCGTGAGCGAGGAACATTCGGCATGAGGCGTGTGATCTTTGCTTTTTGGCAGGCAACATCAAGTATACCTTAATGTTTTCTTGATTTACTTCCAATCCGCTACATGAGTTTCTGTCACAAGCTGATGCTCCTCATCTGCCACGGTATCTGAACCCGGGACTTCTGCAGTTAGTGACGACGAGTTCTGACACTCGACCAGGCCGACCCCACTGCCTATTTAAAAGTAATTTTCAGCAACCACACGACAAAGTGTATAAATTGTACCAAAGTTATAACACACATTCTTATTGATTTTGTTGGGCAAACCTGTTGACTCACACACAGCGGTTACACATCTCTGCGCTGTTGTAAGCGTGCTAAGATATAGAAAGGTAGTTAATATAGGCTGAAAATAAACGAATTAATTTGAGTTATGTCCCCACGCAGGTGGGTGGTTGTACGGAGCTAGTAGGGCTGTTAATCTCAGCTAGCTGCATAAATGTTTCTGTTTCCAGCTAGTTTGGCTGTCGTCCCCAGCTAGCTGTTTTGCTTCTACCCTACCTCCCTCTATAAATGTTTATTGTCCCAGCTAGTTTGGCTGTCGTCCAAGGTTTCTGTTCCCAGTTAGTTTGGTTGTTGTCACTAGCTATGCTCATCCGCGCAAAATGCTACCTGTGAAATGTTATTCAGATTAGTTTCTTTCAGTCAAAAATCAGGCTTTCCCTTAAGTAAAATTTTCAATCAATCTGCTGGATAAAAAGTAGAGGAAATTATTGTTTCACTAGACCAAAAAAAAAAAAAAAAAAAACCGTATATTTCTAATTTCAACTAGATAATAATTTGCGTAAAAAGTCAGAATGCCAACCACAGCTTTTTTGGGGTTGCCATATACATTAGTCACACAATCTTTAAGACTGGATCCAGTACCATTGAAACAAATTTTAATTGGAATCTCTTTTGTCGATTACACGAAGCAGAACGAAAAAGAAATTCAAGGTTTTAAAAGATACTTAAGGCGATCAAATCTATTGCATTTACTTGTTTAAACAATTTTCTGACGGTCCCCTATAAGAATGGCTTGATTCTTTCATCCTTTTCTATCGGCATGGTTTTTAAGTAGAGCGAGCCATTTCGCGTGTAAAAGCTAAAGCGGTATATGATTATTAAACAGATTTTTTTCCTGTATGTAGGCATATATACAAATACAACTAAAATGTATATTGCAATTTTCATATATTTTAAAACGCAAGGGTCTATTTGTATAATAAGGGAACCTTCGAGTTTCTCAAGTACCCCGCACGTGTTCTCGCTGTATCCTCGCCCCCTCCCTACTGTGACCCACGCTAACGCCCACACATCCTCGATATACACAACAACAACATCGTCTTTGACTTCTTCGACATCAATGAGATTACACGTTACGGTGTTTGACTTACAAATTTATTGCTACAGACTTATGTTTTATCAGACAAAATTCATAGGATTTGATTTATGTTTACGATATCATTTTGAAATCCTACACATGGATAAAAATCGTACGCTCCCTGTTTTCTATAGTTATTTCAATCATGTATTTATTGGGAATAATGAGCAAAACAAAAATATAACCTTACAAGAAAGGAGATTTTGTCATATTTTATTAAAAACGAACTTTAAACTAAAACTACACACATACACCAATATATATATATATATATATATATATATATATATATATATATATATATATATATATATATATATATATATAAATATTTATTTATTTATTTATTTATTTATTTATACATGTCCTCCAAAAACATACAGAGGACAACAGTCTATTTCAAATATATATATATATATATATATATATATATATATATATATATATATATATATATATATATATATATATGTGTGTGTGTGTGTGTGTGTGTGGGTAGAAGTGTGACACTACCTGGTAACGCCAATGTTCGTTTTGTAGCTATTGAAAGAACAGGCGCACTTGCAATCTCGATGTGTAGACATGATTGAACCGGTAAATATCGACGTTCAATGACAGAGGTTACGCTAG